GCATTTGTTTTGACAGACATATTGTGGAGGGGTGGACGGCATAAACTTCCAAGGCTTTGAGGGTGTAGAATCTGCTTCAGGAGCTGTATTCTTATAGTTGTGATGTGTTTTAGGAATCCGGTTGGGTTTCCATGTCTTAAGCACTTTGCAAATATGGGGTGATGCAACGTTCTGGTTGGCTCAGCGGGTGTTCGTGCACAGGGAAGGCTGTGTTTATCTGGGTGGGAAGGAGCTGGGAACTGTTAAACGCTGTTGAGGTTAAAGCATAGAGGCAGTCAGTGGCGTAGGTGCGCTGGTATCGCAGGCTGAGTTCTCTCCCTGAGCTGATCAGGCCGTTCTTTGAAAAAGGAAACGGGGATATGCCCTCGGCTTAGGCCTGCCGTTTGTTGTTGCTGCCTCTAAGACCCCTTTGGGTATTTATAAAGCAGGAAGGAACTCATCTGGGTCTCAGGAGATGTTTCTAACCCAAATCTTTCCTTCCTCTCTCTCTGCACAAGACCCCTCCGCCACCAACTGATCGCTTCGGCCAGAGCAGTGCCATGGAAGGACTGGGAACCATGGGAGGAAGCACATCAGGATTCAACCGGGGGGCTCCCGGGGGAGACTTTGGCCCTAATAAGCGTCGTCGATATTAATGGGAAAGGGTCCAGTGCCTGGCCGTCCCATCAAGAAGACCCCTCGGTTCTTCTTGAACCCCAGGAGCTTGGCCATGGCAAGAGGCATCTGGTCATATTTGTAAACGGTGTACCTGACACCACAAGGGGTGCATTCCTGCAAGCACGCAATGTGACAGTGGATCCCAGGAGGCTTCAGTAGCTGTGTAGTGTGTGAGGCCGAGCTAGGACCCCTGACCCTTTTTCTTCCCCTCCCCAAGCCCCTCACCACAGGCTGCAGTTGGAGGCCAACTCAGCTCTCCCCCAGTCCTCTGAAGCTATTCTTCAGAGCCCTGGGGTAAGGCCTGTGGTTGTATACGTGGCTGTAGCTACAGATGGCATATCATGTAGGGGGAGGGGAGGGGAGGGGGAATAGTTTTTTTAAACTTGTAGCTTCTTACTTTTTCCTCTGGACCATTTTTTCTTTACTATAGTTCTCTGGGGCAGCCAAGAGGGCTAGGTAGTGGTGGTGGTTTTGGGGTGAATTATTCAGTGTTGTACCATTCTTTATTTTTTACTGGTAGAAAAGTACAATCTATTGGACAACATAAAACACAAAAGAGTTTCCTGTTAAAAAATTCAGCTGAAGCAATTGTTTGTATAACCCTAACTTTACCTGTCTTGTGTAGAAGTAAATGTGTGAACCTGAACTGTAATCGTCGACTAACAGGTTGAGTTTGTCTGAAGATTGTTACAGGAATGCATTATTAAAAGGGATTTTAAGACTTTTTCATCTTGTGTCCATCTGTGATGTCCCTGGGTTGGTGCATTTCTGGCTTTCGATTGCTAGAGGAAAAACAATAGAATGGCAACCGCACTATTTCTGCTAAGAAGGCTCCAGGCTCCAGAACCCCATCCCTCAGCCTCTTCCTGCTCCTGCAAAGGTGATCGGCTGTTCCTTGAGCTCTGTGACTCAGGATTCCCAATCTACCTTTGCCTGAAGGGTGGCTGGGAATTCTGGGAGTTGCTGTTCTAACATCTTTGGAAAATTGTGTTAACTGACTGCCAGTAACATTAGCCAAGCGACTTAGCCAAGTGACTTAGCTTGGTAGCTCACGGTTGCTTGCCTTTTGCCTAAGGGCAAACTGGAAAAACTCTTGGTTGTGCAGGAACTTGTCTGGAGCACCTTAGGGTATGTATCTGTGGCGCCTTATATAAACTGGATGGGCTGAAGGGAGCAGTCGTTCTGCTCAGTGGTCACTGATCTGTCCTGGCTGGTCGGTTGCAGGACTCTCACCGAACCATTCTGAGCAGGACCAGCCGTTCGTGGTATGTACATTTCTGGCTGCAAATGATGGGTGAAGGAGGGAGGTTTGGGTTTAGGGAAGGTGCAAAAATGATAGTGAAGTACACATGTTGGGGTGTACTAAATGGGACAAAAAAGCTTACATGCAAGAGATGTCTAGCTAAAAGGGTTCAAGGTGGAACTGGGCTTAGCTCCTTCTCTGCAGCCAGCTGGAATGGTTTAGTGTAACGTGCAGGTTGGATTCCTTTGTTGAGGCTGGCAGCTCCACTGGTGCCTTCCACCAGTTCTGTTTTGGCTTCCAGGCTGGAGTCTTAGGCTCTGGGATGCCCTAGACCAGGGGTTTTCAAACTACGGCCCGCCAGGGTCATTTATCTGGCCTGCCCGCCTGATTGGCCGCCGCTGCTGTCTCTCAGAAGCGGAAGTGTCGGGGCTGTGTCGGGAGCTGCAGGCGATGCACGAGGAGGGAGATCGCAGAGCCAGACTCTTCTACATTACAGGTATGGCGGGTCCGGTGGCTCTCCTTTCCTCTCCTCTCCTCTCCTCTCCTCTCCTCATACTCCGTGGGAGGGATCCTCTG